TCCACCCGTTGTTAGTCATCTCATCAATTTGCTTCATGAGTTCCTCCAACTCACCGGATCCCATACGGTATACACAACCTTCTGCTGGAACAACACCTACTAACTTGATCATGTGTTTGACTGATCGCGTGAAGACTCCACGCGGTTCAACCATAACTTCCGGAAATCGGTTGAGTAAGCTTTCAATGTTTGCTGGGATTTCCAGGGGTGGGGGATCAGAAAAAGGATCACCTAAATCGGGTCGCATATTAGTAGTGAAGGTTGTCGAATCCGAAGTAGAATCATTGGGACTAGAATTAGGTGGAGAAGTAGAAATACTAGAAGTAGACACAATAGGCAAAGTAGGATTTGTACTAGCCACAAAAGTAGAAGGAACATGAGTAGGACAAACAAAAGCAACATACAATTGCTCTTCCACCTTGTGCCTGCGCCACTTCTTACAGAACTCCATCGCATTGAGATAAGTCACTTGGGATTCACTCTTCTTGTCTAGTAATACTGCGCGTTCATTTCCCAAAGCATCGTGCACTACATGGAGATCCATCTTCCACTCAGTCCATTTGCATCGGGAATGTAGTCTGCCCAACCCAAAGACTGTGTCTAAAGGGCACTTGTCAAGTACATAGAAGTTGAGTGCATGTGTGACAGTCTTGGTTTTGTCAAAGGTAGTGCGCACACCTTTGACTACATGCGTAGAGGAGACAACTTCTTTGTTGCTTACTTTGGTCTGGCAAGGGGCCTGCAACTCCACTTGCTGCATTCCCGAGCCCACCTTGTGTACCCCGTATGGATACATGAAGTTATTAGTTGCGCCACAATCAACCAAGACACAGAGGTAGCGGTGGCTAATGAGAAGCTTGAAGAAGATTAATTCCACTGTTTCTTGAGGACGTTGTTGTTTCATCTCAGCCCAATGCTCAAGGTGGTAGTGAAAGTTAACCTTCTCGGACTCCTCCCAAGGCTCATCATAGACTACATGACATGCGTCAACCTTGGAATCAGCGGATGACGGGGCTTCAAGAGAGGATTGTTGATTTGCATCAGGTTCAGTCTCGCTTGCTATAGAAGGTGTTGATGTCAACTCTACGCCCAATTCGGGTTTCCCTGTAGCCTATAACAACTTTGGACTTTATGGTTGGGTTCCGTGCAATGCAGACAAACTCCCTTCTTGATCCTAGCCTTCCATTCACTTTTGCTGATATGGAAGTCCAACCAAGGTTTGGTTGTAGCGTCCTCCAACTTGGCTGGGATCTTGGCTCCTTTGGGGAGTGGGATATAGTTCTTTCTTGAGTTCCGGTTTGGTCCTTTCACATTGGCAGACTTTCTAAAGGTATTAAGTTTCTCTTCATCATTATTAATATCAAATGCATGGGTTGCAAATGAACAGGCTGTATCAGAGTCCTCTTCTCGTCATCAAGAGTGTGATCATCTGCATAGGCCTCCTCATTAGCCTCCAGCGGTCATGCACAACAAAGCGGTTGCTGCCTCTAAGCCGCTTGCCGCATATAGGCTTCTTGCTGACTACTATAGAAACGAGGTCTTGTGCCTCGAGGCTGACTACATCCTGCATGAGGGAAAGCCATTCCGTGTATCCAACGAGATCTTTGTCTAGGCGATGTGTGTAAGGAGTGAGAATTGCACCTTTCACAACATCCATGCACGACTATGCAGTCATTTCCAACATGAGAGTAGCAAAAAGTTTGCTTACATACAATTGCAGGTTGTGCATGGTGTCTGACCACCTGCTGCGCTTGAGATAGTCAAGCTTGTTCCTTACTCTCATAGCAGCATGTGGATCTTTATATTGTTTAATCAAGATCTCTTTCAGTCTGGCCACTGGTGTGGCCTCGGCATTACGTTTGGACAAGAGAGCAACCACAAGAAAAAAAAAATCAGATGAGAGGTCTGATCCAGCGTCTTAGCCTAATCAAACTGAATACGAGATCCCCTCGAGTCCAATTTGATCCGTTTCGTGGACGTACGACAAACTCAAACAACGAGTGACGACATGCAACAATGAAAAATTGAGTGGTGTATAAGGTGCGAGTCAAGCCACGGACCGTGCAGTAAAAGTATACAAAACATCTTAGCCGAGATCCCCTCAGCAGTGAGTGCTCTAACCAAAGAATAAAACTTTGTGTCCTAGACAAAAAAAGAATGATCAAACGTCAAACAGATTTGGGCCTAAGGGACCCTTCCTGCTTGGTCCTCGTCCCACTAGGTACCCAAAAGGTCCAACTAGGCCATGACCAAGTCCCAACCAAGAACAGTCTCACATGGACCTACTTTCTGCCTCTACTGAACTGGAAAACAAATTTCAACTTCAAAAAGAACCTACAGTCTACATCCATTCAGAGACGAAGAAGTTGATGGACTATAGAAAGATATGGCGTCCAAGGTAAGATACCTCATCTCTTTATCCACCAGGTGAGAAAACGTTTTGCGTACTCATACTCACGATCAAGACCACAGAGGAGTAGGGAAAGAAACCTAGAGTAACCCCAATGGGGCAATCAATACCATGCACACACATACATGGGCATTGCGTACGTGTACGACACTTGTCTGAGTGTCCCGAGCTCCGAGATGAATAGAACTCACCCCCCTCTCATATCGTCCTCCCGACCACTTTAACACAACCCCGACACTAGTGTCCTATCTACTAGGAGGGTCTGACTCCAACGTCAAAGTGCAACATCGGATCCCCCGCCAATGCTGAAGAACAAAGTAGCAACTTGCAGTCCGTAGATGCAGAATGACTCCTTTCCGCTCGCTTACTTGAGGGAAGCCCTAAAGTCGCCAAGTGTCTCCTTTGAATCAGATTCCAGGTGCAAGTGCCTCTCATTGTCGCCTCTCCCAAATTGTAGCATGAAGTCTTCTCGAAGTGTCTCACCACTCCAAACTTATTCTCACACAACCTAGTTAGGTCATGTGTCGACTCAACACGACCTAGCCAGGTGGGGGCAGCTTCCCTTCACCACGCTGCCCCTTCCCTCAACTTCCAGCCCTAACCCTAAGTGGTAGCCCTCCACTTAGGTTAGCGTTGGAGCAGCAAAGTCAACTCTCACCAGCAAGTAGAATCCGCTCTGATACCAATGTTATGATCCTGGCCAATTTCAAAGTAGACATTGATGAGAAAGTACAATGTCGTCCAATTGCAAAAAGAAATGATAGGTTAGCGTTGGAGCGGCAAAGTCAACTCTCACCAGCAAGTAGAATCCGCTCTGATACCAATGTTATGATCCTGGCCAATTTCAAAGTAGACATTAATGAGAAAGTACAATGTCGTCCAATTGCAAAAAGAAATGAATGAACTTGAGAGGAGAGAGAGGGAAAGAAGAAGAAGAAGATGAAATGAAGAAGAAGAAGAAGATGTACACCAGCAAAGACCGATGAGAATTCCCTTCTTCTTCACCAACCACTCTCCTCCTCCTTATCTCCTCCCCTCTTATTCAAACAAGAAATAACAATGGTAATGTTGAATGGCTGAACCAGAATCAATGTCCGAATCCCTCTTCTACTGCACTTATCACATGAGGTCCACCATAACCATGGCCACCGTTCTTCCTCCTTCCTCCAAGGCCAAGGCTATGGTGGACTACCAGGGCATTGCCCTGCTGTGTAATGGACCACACAAAGCAGCTATGACTGCTCTAGCTCAGGCCGCCATGCCTGACTCTGCCTCGAACCTTCTTGGTGTAGCTCTACCCCAGCCGGGGCCTTCCAGATGCAGCGCCCACCAAGGTGATGAAGATGGCATTCACCATAGCCAGGTAAGTACCTCTGGCGCTCTCCCTCTTCCTAGTCCTGGTGTTCTTCCTCCTCCTGTCCTTGCTCCTCCCCAGCAGTGCTGCTCTGATGCTTGCGCTGCTTTAGTCAGCGCTCCAACCAGTGTGTCGCCAAACTGGCACACCGACAATGAGGAGCACTTCTCTCCTCCTGGAGATATAGCGGCCTGCTTGCCTCTTGGTGAGTGACTTCCTAGGCCGCCTGGCCTCCAAGCAGCCGGTACCTCCTCCCATTCGGAGGGAAACATCATTGCAGACTCTGACATTGCCCGTGCAGGCCCTAGACTCAGACTGGTTGGACTGGTACCTGCCTAGACCTAGCCTACAACTACTGGGCCTCTAAAAATGCAACGTTTGTCTTCTTCTGTTCGGCCTCAAGTACACCGCACATCTACCTCTACCTGGTGTGGTACCGGCCTACCTGCTACTTGAGTGTTTTCCCGCTGCTTCAAGTGTTGCGGGCCTCCTTCCCGCCACTTGAGCGTTTTCCCCGCTGCAACCCTCAATGCCACGGCCACAGGTAAGTACCGCCCCTTTGGGCCTTCCACACGGACAAGTACCCTCGCAAGTCACACACACACTCAAGCCGACAAGCACTCAGACAGGCATGCAGACCAACAACCACTCACACACTCAGACTTCGAAAACTCAGCAACAAGCGGGAAACTCAGCAAGGAATACATTCCATTGGCAAAACTCAGAAATGAGCTGTGTGTCTCAGTCCGTGTTTGGTGGGTCCTAGCACGTCTATGGTTGGTCTCAAAGCATCTCACCTTCCCTATGTTCCTCCCCCATTGGGATTGCTTTTCTGGAATCTATGGTGGTTGACAGCATTGATTACTCCCTGCTGGAAGGAATTGGATTTCAATTGTGTTGCTATTAACAGTTGCATTTTTTTTATATTTTTTTAATTTGGACCATTTCTCGATTTTATGCATGTCATCCTTGCGCAGGGGCCATGCTAATCTTCTCTGTATCGTTCCAATTTTAACGGATGTCGCGAAGGACACGCTTGCATGATTTCTTCTCTCTTGTTTTTTCTTCTTTTTTTTTCGTTCAAAATTTGGACCATTCTTGATTTGTGTGCCATCCTTGTGCAGGGAATATGGTAATGTTCCTTCTCTGCGTCGTTCCAAGTTTAGTGGATGCCCCGAAGGACATGATTTCTTCTTCTTTCTAATCTCGTTTCTGGATGAAAATGTTTGCTCTCAGGTATTACCCTGGCAATCTAGAGGATGTTCCAAACACAGGCAATGCTCCAACCATCATGCGAATTGCTGACCTGAGGTATGTAAGGCCGCAACATTCATGTTGAGGAAAATGTTCACATTTTCTTTCTCTTAAAAAAAAAAAAAAAAAAAAAAGGACCTTAGGGGCCTGGCTCCTTATCCATTCTGGGGAGCATCACTCCGGTTCCTATACCACCGGCAAGTCAGAGGAAATTACAATAGATACGCATGCTCCCCTCCATTATGGTTTAGAGGACCGAGTGGACGGCATTCATTACTTCCCAAAGGAAGGATGTACCACCCCTTATAATTTTAACGTTTGAATGCTAGACTACCTTCCTCTGTCTTTTTCTGTTGACTATGGCGTGCCTATGAGAACCCGGACAAGCTTGTTCCTCTCAGCTGTTGAGCTGGGTACTGGAACTGGTAGCCTGACTTCTTGCCAATCATCCTATTAAACTCCAGTCCTTATCGATAGTGGTTTTGAAATTACTAAAATTGTGGGCCTTGTGTTATCCTTAAGCCCTCGACCCTAAGCCTTTTCCCTCTGTCTACATGGGCTCTATACCTTTCCCTTTTTTCCTCTGTCAGAATCTGCGTAGACCCTGAACCTTAGGCTCAACTTCTACCTGTTGGGTATATAGCTCCTCACTATCTGGGGAATGTGGTGTTCCTTTCTTCTTCTCTTGCTCGATGTTCTGAAGCCTATCACAGAGAGGGGCATGATCCCTGTGCTCTCTGTCTAGAAACTGTAGCCATACCTGTGAGGTGGGTCATCTTTTCAACCTGCCTAAGGGAGTCCTTGATTGGGATAGTCCTCACTTCTATTTAGCTGTTTGAATTTCCTTTGGTACTGGATCAGCTTGATTGTCTACAATTTGCCTTTCCCACTGAGCCCTAGCTCTTTGGTGGTCATAGTTAAGAGAAAGATAATGTTTCTTATTCTGTGCTATCGCTAATACCCTAAACCCTAAACCTTCCCCCTTTCTCTACTCGTGGTCCTTCCCCACATTTCTTTGAGCTGATACTCCCCTTCAAGCTGTCCTGCTAATCTTCGCTGACGGGTCTATCCGTGATTGTCTAGGGAGACTTGTTCGTAGTGTTAGTATCTATGTTGTAGCATCTTGATGGGAGTGAGCAATCTTTCGTCGTGGTATACTCCATGATCTTGTGGTTGACAGGCTAGTTTATATCTGTCTGTCTAAAGGTGATCGTGTTTCCTGGATTCTTTGGTGATATAGTTTGCTTCCTAATTACCCTGTTGCTGGTCTCCGTCCGAGTGTACCTCCTCCCCATCTAAGGCCTCTGCGAGCTGATTTGTAGTATCCCATTCTTGGTACTTCAGCTAATTCTTTTCTATATTCGCTATTTTCGTGCCTAGTAACCATTTTCCTTTAAAGGATTTGTGACTAGTCTCTCTTTTTTTGGGGTCTGTTAGCTTGTCTTCTTCCAATTTGCCCTTAATTATGTTTCCACGATATCCTTTGTTTCTTTCCACTCCTCTTCACTTGTCATCATCTGATTTCCGAGTGTTCCTTTGCATCTAGGTCTCCTTATCACCCATCATGCTGCTCTTCTCAGCAAATCCGCTATGATCATTTCTTCCACTTCTGAGTTCCCTTATCTGTCTCTTGATGAAAGTAGATAATCCTGTTGTGATGGAAACATGTTTGGAGAGATACTGGACCATGATGACTTCACTGCCTCCCATATTTTGTCAGCATGGGAACATTCTATCAGGCAATGGACAAGAGATTCCACTTTGTTTTCATTGCACATTTTGCAAATGTACTGTTTTGTTCGAGGTTCAGCTTTCCTTCGCCTGTCCAACCGTTCGTTGACTGGGACCACCCAATATAGAATTAGCCATTAAAGGATTCAGACTTTTGTGGGTTTTATGATGCTATAATATCCCCATGGGATCCTGGTAGGCCAGCCATGGTCCTCCCGAACATGTTTAATCCATCTTTCTGATATAATCGGGCGGGGGTCTACTATCTTATTCCTTATTTTGTATCTTATTCTTACCTCATAGCCTTGCAAGTTGACTAGCTTCTTGCCTTAGCACTGCCCAATTTAGCGTACCAACCCCATATTGTCGGATCCACTTCCAATTCTCTGATATATTTATCTGGTATGAATAATAGCACTTTCTTGGGGGTATTTCCTCTAGATTGGGCCCCTCTTTTTCCTTCTATCTCCACGTTCTAACTTTTCTCAAGTTTTTAACGTTGAATTTCAATGTTGTTATACTTTCTTCAACATTTGTTTTTGCTCAACAATTTGTGCACTTCAAGTTCTGCTATGTTACCCTAATTACCCACTCCTTTGAAAAGTTTGAGGGCTACTGAGGGTAACACTTAAAAAAAAAAAGAGCGACGGTCTCAAGATATCATCATCGACTTGACCAGCCCTAGGTAATTCAGAATTATTTCATTTCATTCATCAACCTGTAATATGTACCAACAGTAATCACACTCTTCAAGCCTGTTTTTTTTACTACTGTTTATTTGTTTTTGTGTCTTGAATTGATTGACTCTGAGTTTATTACGACCATTGAACAAACTTGATGGACAACACAATTTTATTTTTGGCTTACAGGGATTTGCCATTAGAGTAGGAGGATCATGACATCTTTTGATGTCTCGCTTAAAAGCATTGGTTGGAGCAAGAAAAGTGAGAAAAACGAAAAGAATAATAATAAGAAGTCAAAAATACAGAAAGACTTCCAAGCCAAAAATCCAAATTAGGCTGCAAGTACATCGAGATTCCAAAGCTTAGTAGTAAAGGTCCTAGTGTTACGTATGCCCTGAATGACAAAAATAGAGAGGAATCTGCATGAAATTCAGTGAACTCAATCCTAACACTCAGTTTCATGATTTGCTTGACTGTGATTTTGCAACAATGCACACCACTATGAAACCTCAACTGTTAAATTGTGTTAATTGAAGTTTCTGGAGAAAACATATGTAGGAACCTTTTGGGTTTGGGATGCTCGAAACAATTTCGTATTAATACAGTTATTCATCTATTCAGGTGCACTACGTTTTCTATACTTTTTTGCAAATGTAGCTTCTCTTTTTGTTTGTATAGGTCTCATAAATATACTAATAATGAAATTCTTTGTAAATTGGTGGAACACTTTGCATCAACCTTCTAGAATTAGCCAATTTGGTACATCAGGTTTCAAATTTGGGTCCGTAATTCAAGAGTTCATGGGTGTACCAACGAGCTAGGCTCGTTGGTAGTGAGGGTAGCACTTGACCTTTGTTCGTTGCCCAATCGCCTATCTCCCATTTGATCTCCCCTTTTAATAACACGCTCCATTCGACGGTATGCAATCTATCATTTCCTCTAGTTTTTTTTTCTGGGTTACGGCATCCTTTGAGTTGTTGGCTTAGTTCAAAGGTTGTCTTCCATCTCTTCTCTTCTTTTTTATAGATGAAAGACGACCTCTGAACCATGGTCCTTGGCTGTGTCCCTTGTCCAGAGGTAAGCCCCTTCCTTGTTCTTTAACGTTGAGATGGATTTTTGAGGAGGATCCCAAATGGATGATGTGTACCAAGCCATATAAAAGATAGATGTGTTTAGCACTAAGGCTCTGCCCATGAGGGAGGTGTAAACCTTTTGCCAACCTGTTAGTTTATTTATAATTTGTGCTAGTATGTTCAGACCTGTGCTTTCACTTACTTCTTCGGTTGATACTGTTATTCTCGAGAATCTCATGGGTTCTTGGGCGCTTATCCACTGCAGGCCTTGCGTGTCTGTTGATTCCGGGGGCGAGGTTGGGTGGATAGCCACCAACCCACCATTTTTGTGCAGTTAATCCTCATTTCGGAGGCTAACTGAAATGCTTGCATCACTCTTGTCAAGCCCTGGAAGGATGAATCAATGGCTCTAATTAAGACTGATATCATCAACAAAAGCATAATAGTGGGGAAGGAAATATGTCTAGCCGACCCCTCCAGAGCGAGTCTGTTTATTGAAGGATCCTTACGGAGGGAGGCTGTTATGGCCTCCATTACAAACAAAAAGATCGAGGTAGCTAGTGACCCCTTGTCTGACCGATCTAGTCCTTTTGTAGGCATCTGATAGGTGACCATTTACTTGTACCATACCTCTTACATCCGCGTAAAGCACCATCACCCACCTTCTAAAGTTTGGGCCTATGCCCATCCGTTCCATGTTGAGTTGTAGCCTTGTAGGAAGTCACAATTTACTTGGTCATAAGCCTTTTTGAAGTCAAAGAAGGGTATAGGCGATTGCATTCTTTTGTCTCTCATTAGCTTGGTGGCTTTGTTTAAGCATACTACGTTGTCTACTATGTATCTACCTAGGATAAAGCCTGTTTGATCTATATGAAAGCACTTATCTGTAATATTCTTTATGCGATTAGCTACTGTTTAGGCTACTGGTAATAGAGAAATAGGCCTATAGTTTTCTATATCCTCCCTATCACCCTTCTTATACAAGAGGGTGACCACCCTCGTACTCATATTTTCCCCTAAAGTCTCTTTTTGAAAAGCTTCCTGAAAAAAAATTAAAGAAATCTTATCCCATCACTTGCCTGTTTTCTACGCAGAATTCCTTGGTTAGCCCGTCCTTCCCGAGAACTTTATTTGGCTGCATACTCCTTAAAGCTTCATATAGGTCTTGTTTGGAGAGGTCGTTATCAAGGTCCTTAGTCGCCTCAGCTTTTATGCTCACCTGCAAGTGCTTGAGGAACTTTTCTCTTGCCATAGTCACCTCTCCTTGATTAAGCTTTGTTGCCCTCGAGGTGTAGAGATTTTGACAGAAGCCTGTGGCCGTGGTTAGCACTATGCCTTGATTACTTTTCAGCTTAAGGATTCAGCTATTTCTGCAGTTCGATTTACTTTGTTTAAAAGAATACTTCGTCATAGTCTCATTACTTTCCCTATCTTTCACTCAGGCTCTGATGGCTAACACTTCTTTATTCCACTCCGCCCATTTTTTGAGTTCTTCTCGTGCTTCTTCCAACAACTCTTAGGTTGAATTTTGCCATCTCTACAACTGCCTCAAGCATCTCTTGTCTGGCCTTTCTTTTCTTAGCCTTTATTCTTGATGTCGTACTTAGCAACCTGCGGACTTCCATTATCACTTTAGGTATCATATTTGTTATTCGTATGGCGTCTACCTCCCGTCTGTGCAGATCCCAAACTTGCTTAACCCCTCTTTTAAAGTGATGCAGAGTTACTAGGGAATTGTTTAGCTTGAAAAAGTTTTTGCCCTTGGTATCGTTTAGTGAGAAAGTCAGGTTTAGCCCTATTTGATTGTGGTCAAAGCCTCCATAGTAGGGGATTTTAAATATTGCACTTTTAACTGCTCCTTCCAAAGGTTCGGAGGTGAGGACATAGTCAATTCGCGAGAAGGAAGTTCTCCCTTCGCTGGTTTTTCGTATGCACGTGTAATCCTTTATTAGTGGGTTTAACATTCTATACGGATCTCTTAAATCTTTTTCTGTATGTGGGCGTCTGATTCATCTACACTGTCCCTTGCATGCGAGATTCTATCATGGCAGGTCCTAGGGTACCATTCCAATCTCCTATAAGAATTAGGTGTATGTGGTTAGGACACTCCTGCTTGATTATTTCCAGAAAGGTTCTTGTTTGTGAATTCATGTTTGGTGCGTATACGCTGATTATGGATAGTTCCTCTTCTCTATAAAGTAGGTCACATATTCTTTCTGACACTCCAGAAGGTACAATTTTGGAGATGCAAAAAAAAAGTAGTGCATCGTACCCTCCACCATTCAGCTTCCCCCCATCCTCCATGTATCCTTTTTCAAACTCCTATAATGGAAATGCATGAACAATATTTGAAGGGAAGAAAGTGGATAAAGATGGCTGATATGGGCTATGTTCCGGGGACCTCTCAAAAATTGAAAAGGTTAATTTTCTTGCTCAGCAATAGATTGTTTTCTCTCCGATTAGTTTTTTCCTCCATAGTATTTTCTTTGAGAACCCTTGCTGGAAAGCGTCAGCGAGCTGTGCCCAGATTCCAGAACCCGGCCCAAAGGCCCTTGAACGTGAACCAAAGCAAAAGGAGCAGATACTCAAGGCCGGTCGGGGTCACACCTACCAATACCGGAAGCGGCGACAAGGAAAACCCAAACTGCAGAACCTCCCTCAGGGGCCGACACGCAGGGACAAATCCTGAACACTGAGCAGGGCACATAGCTGCGCCCGGGACAAATCCGAAAGGGAAACGACTGGAGAACCCGGAAAAATCTACGCTAAGGATGAGAGTCTTCAGAGGGATGGGGACTGTGTGGTGCAGGAGGAATCTCCCGGAGGGCTCGCTGTGCTGGCAGAGGAACTGCTAGCCAAGCAGGGGGATGGGCAACCACCACCTCGTGACCTAACCAAAATGAAAGCAAAAACACTGTTGCCTGGGCCGAGCACCGTTACACAATCAGGTGCAGGTATGGTGAAGGTTGTCTTGGAAGTGACAGGGGAAATCAAGTTCACACCCTGTCAGCCCCCCCAACAACTGGGAAGCTCTTCAGGTGGAGGCTGAAGCTGACAAACATGCTGAACACGCCAAAAACTCACAGGGGCACGGCCAGCCCGACCCCAGGAGAACTCGCAGCTCCAAAGCGGCTGAGGAAGGAATGTCTAATAGTCTGAAGACACAACAAATATGGTTGAAAGCAAACTCCCTCCTCAATAAAATTAAAGATGCTGCCTCGTCCCAGCATTGGGACCTGCCACGGCCAAAACAGCCCCTGGACGCCATACCATCACCGTCCGTCTCCCAGGAGCCTGGGAAAGGGGTGGGTCCCCCACAAGAGGGCCCCCCAAAAGGAGAGCACAATACTCCTCAACAACCGCAACTGCAGCTACAAGAAGCGACGGCGAACGGAGGGAGGAAGGAGGGCCCTGGTGCATTGCCGCCTGCGAGCACGGACCACCAGACGCAGACTCACGATACGCAGCCATCATCTCTGCACTTGTGATTTTCCGAGTCTCAGTCCCCGCAGCTCACCCACCGAGAAATACAGCCACACCAACTTCAGGGGCTGCAACCGGTGGCCTCAACCCGCGCCTCCCACGGTCCCCGCACCAGAAACAGGTCCGAGCACACCACAATGGGGTACACCCAATAGGACTGCAATGGGCGCACCGGGACCAACAACAACTACTCCGTCCCGCGGGCACGGTGGACTATCTCTCTCACCACCATGGACAGGAACAACAGAAAACGAGGGTCCAGCAGCAACAGCTGGCTGCAGCAAATGCAAGTGCAACAATGTGACCTGACAGCAATGCACATTGACCATCAACAGCAAGCGCAGCCTATCCAACCGCTGCAACAGCCACACCTCCAACAGCAGCTGGCGCAGCTACAACACCAACCGCAGGCGCATCAACAACCTCAACAACACTTGCTCCACACCATGCACCGCGACTCCACTCACCAACAGCAAACACAAAACATTCTTCACCAGCATCAGGATCATCTGCACAACCAAGAGCACCAACATCAACAACAAGAACTTCAGGCACACCATCAGACACAATTGCAGCTGCTGCACCAAATGCAAACCCACATGCATGCCCAACACCAACAACAACAACTGATCATGCAGCAGCAAGAGGGTGAACAACAGTTCCGCCTCCTGATGCATGCCCAGCTGGCGCAGTACCAACACCAGCAACAACAAGACAGAATGGTACTTCAACAACAAATCCTCCAGCACTTAGACCTGCAATGGCAACAGCAACTATGCTGCCAGCAGCAACAAGTTCTCCAGCAGCAACAAGTTCTCCAGCAGCAACAAGTTCTCCAGCAGCAACAGCAACAGCTCCAATGGCTCTGGCAGCAACAAGTGGAATGCCAAAATGAGCAGCCACAGCAGGAACGGTGCCACCCTCACCTCCCCCCTGTTGCACTCCCGGACTGGTACGAAGAGGCACAGACACCCCAACCTATGGACACCTCTGCCTCCCCCTCTGCTGGACCTCTGGACGAGCAACAACATGTCCTCCCAGAGAATATGGAGGTAGAGGTGGCCCCCCCGGTGGCCCAGCCTCCGGGGGAGGTCGGTTTGTCACCCTCTCTGCCAACGAGGAGGTCCAACAGAAATCGGCATTCCTAACTGAGTGGACCCTCACAAAAATATTCTCGCTGACAGATGAGAGACCGGGAGACAGACTCCACAACAAACACTGGGGGGAAGCCAAGAGGGTGCTTATCTATAGCCCCCGGGTCCTGGTCATAGTTGAAAGATGGCCATTTGCGCAGGAGAACAACCACAGCCGCCAACACATCTGCCACTCTTGCCGGTATAGGCACCTGATAGCACAGCCGAAGGCCTCTCCAGCCCCGCCCCCCCACCACATCAGTTGCCCCCGCAAGAAGAGCACAACCACCAAACACAACAGAACTGGCTGGTCGTCCCCCGTCGGGGGGGAACACAAATTGTGCATGATGGCGAAGATACTACACAGACTGGATCGGAGAACGACTGTGAACTAGAGGACCCTCCCACGAAACTCCGGGAACTGGTGAAGCTCGAAGTGGACGACAGCGACCCGGTGGTCGTACCTCCTGGGGTTATCATCTTTCCAATAGTGCGGAGAACAGAGAGAGGGGACAGGGTGCTCGGACTCAGATTCATGGCTCAGACAGTTCAGCAAGCTGCGCCTCTAGGGAAGGTGGCGGCCCATGCCGGCCTCACGATGGAAGGGTGGCAAGGCAACCCCTCCACTGCAGTCGTTCTTAAGCGACTGAAGTACTGGGCCCGAGAGACCGGGATTGAGGATGTTCTGGGAGCGGTGCTGCCAAACTCCCTCTCCTTCCCTAAAGGGATTATCCCGGTCCTGCTGATATGTGACCCGACTATCAGAAGCCGGAAAACAGGAAAGCACTTCACCTGGCTCACTCACCAGCAGCTTCTCGACCTCTCTACTGAGAGATTCGAAACCAATGCTGTGTGGATCCAAAGTAGGATCCTCCTCTTTATGTGGATCTTCCTTGAGGACAGTATTTTAGAACAACAGAACCAATGCGACGATCCACCCCTTGTACTCCCGGTCAAGATCACGGCTTAAATCAAAAGAGTAGACACAGAGGACACAAAGGACACAAAGGATACAAAGGATAAAAAGACAAGAGGTGATGATTCCATCAAACAGGTCGCAGCGCAACAACAACAGCCACAGGTCTTCGGACGGCCTCTCACCACCCCAGCATATGACACACAACAGTCAACCCTTCCCGCCTTGCTCAACTTCATTATCCCCTCCACTATCCCTACCCGCTCCCCCGCCAATTCCTGCACAGCCCTCCAACTCTCCCCCTCGACCCCCGATGCCCCCCTTGCGCCCCCCCTCACCCCGTCTTCCCAAGGATAAAGAGGCCACCCCAATGGGCAACAAAACTGACCCGGGCTGACATTGATATACAATCAATTAATGTTAATGGACTCATACAAGCCTCAACAGAAAAGAAGGATGCTATTTGGAACATGATTAAATGCCCGATTACCGGCGGTTTACCAGATGCGGTGTGCATTCAAGAGACCCACCTACAGGATACCCCACCGCACATTGCAAAGGCGAAATCAATCTGGCCCTATGCGAGCTTCTCAGCACCCGCCAAGGTAAGGGCGTCAGCCGGGGTCGCAATCTGGTTGCCACCCTCCTCAAAGCCCAAGCCGGTCCATATGGAACACGATGGTCAACAAGGGTGATGGGTCTGCCTGAAAGTTGCCTATGAACAGGACAAATTCTATCTAGTGAGCATATATGCTCCGAATGACCCCACTGGTAGGGTGGACCTGTGGCTCTCCCTTCACGAACAATTACCAAACGATGCCCCGATTATCTTGGCTGGAGACTTCAATACCACGCTTGATCCCTCTATGGACCGAAGATCTTCTTCACGACAGCTTGATCCTTTATCCCCTCCTCACTTGACCATGGGACCGGATGCCCTCATGCTCAAGCAATTTATGGCAGATAGGCAGCTCGACGATGCTTATAGGCTGCTGCATCCTAACCAAAGAGCCTACACATGCCTGTCAACCAGGGGTGACCGAGGCTTGGCAAACTCACGGATAGACCTCACCTTGGTATCTAAGGACCTAGTAGGGCTGGTTACAACGGCCAAAATTACAACAATCAGCCCGTGCAGAGTGTTTGACCACAAAATGATTACTCTGGGATTGTCCTTTCACACCCATATTCAAAGGGGCCCGGGGTACTACAAATTCAACACATCCCTTCTCCCCCTGACGAAGTTTAAAGAAATGGTGAACGCTTACTGGGCCTATTGGCAAACCCAAAAACCACAATCCGGGGACAGGGTGCAATGGTTCAACAATGGCATAGTGCAATTGAGAGAGAGGGCCAAAAAATTCTCTATTCAATATGCAAGAGACCGCAAAGCGATCCTAGATAGCCTCATGCGCGAACTTAAAAAATGCGATGAGCACCTTATGGACAACAAGCTGCACCGCCCCTCTTTCGAGAAACTTCAAGAAGCACGGGACCACCTCCAGGCCCACATTGAACAACTGGCGCAGGCCTGGAGGGTGCAGGCCAAAATTAAAAGGGCACATACAGAAGGGACAATGGCGAGATCCTTCTTTAACAAAGCAATGGCCAGATCGAGGGCCAACACAGTCCCAAGGCTTAGACACCTGCTTGACGATTCAGCCCGAGTTGCAACCAATGCTTATACCATAACAAACTATGCAGCTCAATACTATCGCAACCTGTTCACATCCCAGACACCCAATAAGCCTCCCCATGAGGTCCAGAGTGCAAGGGAAAAACTATTGGAGGTTGTTTACTCACGATTGACGAATGCACAAAAAGAAGAGCTGGATAAACCCCTCTCCTCCCAAGACGTTTGGGAGGCCTTGCAGGACATGGAAGAGGAAAAGACCCCTGGGATTAACTCATTCCTGAAGGAATTTTTTGTACAATTTTGGGACCTCCTCCAAGATGACCTTATGGACTACATCCGGGCAATACGGGAGGAGGGTTCATTTGGGGATATGATTGGGCAGGGGGTCACCACACTCCTATACAAGAAAGGGGACAAAGAGGATATCAGGAACTACATACCCGTAACTCTCCTCCCTCTGCCGTATAAGATGGTGGCCAAGGCAGTAACCAACAGGTTGCTGCCCCAGATGAATGTATTGATTCACCCTGACCAAACAGGATTCATGCCAAACCGCAACATCCAAGACAACATTTTACTGGTTAACGAAACCATTAAGTACGCCCACCAACGAAAGGCGCAAGCGGCCATCCTATTTATTGACTTCGAGAAAGCATATGACCATGTTGACTGGGACTTCCTGGACATGTGTTTGGTCAAGATGAATTTCGGCCCGGCATTTTGCCACTGGGTCAGCCTCCTCCACAGATCGGCTACAACTAATATCATGCACAATGGCCACCTATCACCACCAATACACCTACAAAGATCGGTGCGACAAGGGGACCCTATAGCACCGCTCCTATTTGTAATAGTAATGGAGGCTCTGGCTTCTCTGATCAGGTCTCACCCTCATATCAACAAAGTGCCCATCCCGGATATTCCTTGTCATCTTATTCCGATAACTTCGCTATTTGCGGATGACCTCACAGTGCTCATACGGGCAGACCCAGATAGCCTCAGCGCCCTGACATAAGTCATTCACTTATTCTCACTAGCGGCTGACAAAGTCAACTGGGGCTCAAAAACAGAAGGATGGTGGCTCCACCCTCAGGGAGAACCCCTGCCCCTTCATCCAACGGTCGGATGAGCACGGAAAGAAAATGCCATCAGAATCCTTAGGGTGAGACTTACTTCGTTGGGACCCCCCGCAGGACCACGGGATATGTTAGTCAACATGGCAATGGATTGACTGGCAAAATGGGAGGGGTTACACACTTCGCTGGCGGGGCGGGCCCTGGCAATAAACAATGCAATATTAGCGGCTATCTGGTACAAACTGGTTGTCTGGCCGCTAAAGCCTAGACAATATACCAGGTTGAGAAAAGCATTGGTCATGTATCTATGGAAGAATAGCGCCAAGGACCAAGGATGTGTACACCGAGTGAGTTGGGGAACCCTCACCCAACCAAGGTTCAAAGGGGAGGTGGAATATTGGATCCAGAAAGGCAGAGCGAAGCCTTAATCTTCAAGGTCCTCAGTAGACTACTCATGGGGAACGACATTCCATGGGCACCCTCGGCTTGCCTGCAGATTGCCAACTTTGCCCTGGAATCGCTAACAGCTAACACTTTGCACCCTTTCCGGTGGCTGACTAACAAGCATTGGTCGATACCCACCCCCTTGCGACAAGTGCAGGCAAATACCCCGACACAAGCAGCAAGGATGGACCTGCTTTTGGACCCCTTGTGGCCCTACATGCTCAAACTCAGGAGGACACGTTGTCAGGCGGCCACAAGGGATGCGCCGCCTGAAAGCTGCGGCTTTGGGACCTAGGCTCAAATACAAGTGTGTGTTTTGATGGTACTCTGGTTTCACGAGGCAACAAAAATTAGGGGAACTCAGGGCACCCCTGATTTTGTGCGCATTGAACCTTACGAGTAACCCTCAAAGATGGCAAAATGGGTAGCCGCTCCCGGCACATCTTGGAACCGTCACTTCCGCCCGTCCCGAGGCTAGACCTGAAATGGCCGGCCGCTAAGAGACATCGCGGGGACTGACCTCGCGATAACGCCTTTTGCAGCACACGATCGGGGCCGAGTGATGCCTCGAATTTTTGTCAATTTTGATGCCAAAATTAAAATGGAAGAGACGGTTAAAGATGGTGGGATGAGAGAGAAAAACAAAATATTCTTTGATTTCTATAATTTCCATGGCATTTAATTTTAGTAGAAACTCCGTCGTTATTTTACGTTTCCGGCAATGAGATCAAAAACGAAGAAAAGAGATTAAACATGACAAAAAAAAAAGGGAAACAAAAGAATTTCAATCATTTGATTTAAAACCCCTCAGTGTTTATTTTTTGTGAAATTGCGACTATTATACTAATTCAGACAATAGAATTAGGAAGAGAGTGAAATGATTAAAACAAAGACGGAAAGAATAGGAACTACTGACTATTCGATGCCTGGCCTGATTTTGTTTGGATTACCCACCGTCAGCCCGGAACCCCGAGTTGATCAAAYTCTMTGAACTCTAACCCCTTTTGTTACTATCCCCTGATGATCGGGATTTTCCGCGTCGTTCTCTTGATTTACCTGACTATTGACCCTCTGAGTCAGTCCGAGGATGGTCACATGGGCAGTGTGAGACGGTGCTGCTTTGGACCAACGGTATGATATTTGGGTCGGTACGGACAACAGTTCGGAGGGGTTCCGGTTATAGTTCGGTGTTTTGGTTCGGGGTGAGCTCAGTATCAGTGCATTTCAGGTTCGAACATATCAGCGTGATTTATTGTCAGGCTTGGGGCTGCTACGACGATCTATTTCAGCTTCGCCGCCGCCATGGCGGTTTATCCCGGGCACGGTGCTATCGCGGCCATTGATTTCGGATTCGGTATGACTCGACACTGACATATTTTTTTTCCAGCTCGACAAGGGCTCGACATCAGCTTATTTCAGACTCGAGCAGATAAGGGTGATTTATTATCCGGTTTGGAACCACCACATTGATTTATTTCAGGGTCGGAACAACTTCGACGTGACTCCGACCGTCTACTTCCGGACCAGCACCAACACGGCAATTTATTTCAGCATCGAAGCCATTGCCACATTAATTTTCTGGTTCGGTTTGGGGTCGGCTGGCACGGCACGGGCTATTTCAGTTCTCTGCGACAACGATCGGATGTGTGTGTGAAAAACGACTCCAAATGATTGGTATGATTTGGTACGGGTGCTACGGTCGGAGGCATTGTCACGGAACAGTTGCTGCAAAATACCGCGGCCAGTAGCTGCAGTCCCAGACGGCTATGTCAATGGGACTCAACGGTTCAATATTGAGGCCCTCTTCATCATCTTGGGTATGTACGACACTGGAGTGAGGCTTTGGTCTGTCACCGGACTGGTACGGTCCTTGAGCCAATACAGCCAGGTCACGGGGCCGCGGTACCATTATGCTCGGCACAGTTTCTGATTTGGTAACTAGGACAGTTCTCTTTGATTTCGCCTGCAATGCCTATCGGTACCGTTGGACTGGAATTCCCACAGTACGGGGGTACCCGGGCCCTCAGCAGCATGTGCTCCGTAAAAGGCTACGGTCGCAGCATATAGGGGAAGGCAGCGAAGAGAGGGGGGACGCACTCAGTACGAGCAAGGTGTACCCGCGTATGCAAGCACGGGGAAGACGCGCCAGCGCTGAGGCGGTTACTCCGCGTGTGAGGGGAGTGACGTGGGGAAAAGGAGCATGCAAGGTGTACCTGGCCGACAACATAGTGGGATCCAGGCAGGTCAACACGTTGGGAGCAGCATGCAAGGCGTTCCCCGCCCACGTAGCATGCACAGAGGGGGTGTGCGGAGAAACTGAGAAAGAGAGTGAGAGGATCAGACTGTGCAGCGTGCTCGAGAGAGAGGGAGAGAGACAGGGGGACTTGCCTTTGGGCGGCGTGCCAGGTGTATCTGACGTTCCGTTAGCACATGTGGCGCGGGGTAAGGG